GAGAACCTGAGCATGTTAATAATGGTGAAATTATATCCTTGGCCAGGTGCAACTAAGCATGTTTACAGCATACTCAGACGTTCTGTGATTCAATCATACAAATATTTTCTGTCCCTCATGATCCAGTGTAAAAGAATGAAATGAGCGATGCAAAAGACAACTGCTTACACTGCACTGAGAAGAGGAAAAAGGTTGTCATGCAACTGAACATCAGGTGGCGCTGTTTTCTAACACACTATGAAACACAAATGCAATCCACTCAAATGAACAAAGAACCTAGTGTCCAACCTCTTCTGCAGAGGCTTTCTGATCTGCACACTGCTGGGAGAGTTCGCTGTATGCCTGGCTGAGGGCCTTCAGCTGCTCCTGGGCCCTCTCCCTTTCCTCCTCTGTCATCCTGTGGGACAAAATATAAAGAATGAGGCTGAGAGCTTTAAGAGTGGATGGAGTCTTGTGTGTGCTGGTCACAACAAGCTTTGCTTACTTGTCACCATGTTTGCTCAGCATCATTTGTGTGGCCCTCAGCGCTTCTGAAAATTGTTCCTTCTTAGTAGCCATTTCCTCAACAGACACCTTGAAGATCAAATAATAATGGATTAATACTTTATATGCAGTAAAATGACAAATAACATTTTTCCATTGAATTACATAAAATATGCCAATTAATGAACAAAGACATCCTTTACACTCTAGCTGCTTGATAAAATATAAACCCTGACAATTAGCTGTGTAATAAAAACTAACTTTCCAACTGAAGAAACACATTCAGTAAGTTTAGAAACACAATCAGAGAAAGGGCTTTATAACTGAACAAGAAATAAAATAAATTAGCAAGTCCAAAGCTGTAAGTACATGTACATTGAATTTGTTCAATTGGAATATTATTTGCATTATTGAATGAATAATGTATTAAAATATGTAAAATTGAACTTTAATCTTTATTCAAAATTCTATGTTTGCTTCCAAAATAAACCTGACTCACACATTTTGTGTTGTAATAATAATAATGATAATGCTATAATTGTGAGGAAAAACTAAATATGTCAGTGTCCCTTGCTCCTGCTCCAGATACTTATGGACACTTTATTGATCACATAAATATTTTGATTTGGCCATGTGAATTTTAGGGAATAATTAGCTGGGCAGAGTGCTTCAAAACTGTTTTATGTATACATAACTGTAAACTGCAAAAAGTAAAAATAAAACATTTTAAAAAATCAGCTTTGGACCATATGAATACTGCTGTTTCCATAGACACACAGGGACAAAAATCTAACATGTATTTTGATTTTTCTATAATTTATTATTAGTCACTGAGGTTGTTCTGAAATATGAGTGCTTGCAACTTGTTCATTTGGTGTGATTAGTTGGATATGACTGAAATAATCAAATACCCAGAGTCCAAAATCTGAATTTTGCCTTTGTGAGGCAAGTAAAAAGGGGATATGATAGGGTAATTACAGTCTCTAGCTACAGTGTAAAATATATTGATTAAATCAATCAGAAAGTAAATAGTTTTTATTAGAAATTATACATTGTGACAGCAAAAAGCTACAATTTCATTTTGATTAGGAAAAATACTCTTCACCAATAAACCAAAGCATTCGATGATATGCAACATGCATGTGGCAGCAGGACACACTGAAAATACCATAGAAAACAATCCACATTATTTACCTGGAGCTTTTTAGAAGCGTCTGTGTTGGCATTACTATCTTTGGGAGCATTCCCATCATTGTTCAGGGTCTGTTTCACACTCACCATCCAGTGCAATAGTTTGCTAACTTTATCACCATGTTCTCGCTTCTCCTCATCAACAGATCTCTACAATTAGAAGAGATGGGTTTTTGACAAGATTGATAACTTTGTTACAAAGTACAAAAACAAAAAACAGTTGAGGTTGAATCCTGGGGGTGGGGTATTGGTGTTTTGCCTAAAGACATTTATAATCAGATTAAAAACACAAAAGCTCAAAATATACAATCAGTTGCATAAATCACTTAGAATATGTGTGTAAATCAACAAGATTATTCAACAGTAAAGACGAGGCAACGTTAAAGCCAAACACAAAGTCAAATAAAATCCTATATGCAGGTTTTGTTTTTATGCATCACACAACCATCTATTTACAACTGTTTATTGCGAATACATCAAAACATAATGAAATGATGATATGGCTCCAAAACCATTAACTTTTGCAGCCTCCAGTAACCTTAACCCTGTGTGGCAGTCGTACAATAAAATCCTATATGCAGGTTTTGTTTTTATGCATCACACAACCATCTATTTACAACTGTTTATTGCGAATACATCAAAACATAATGAAATGATGATATGGCTCCAAAACCATTAACTTTTGCAGCCTCCAGTAACCTTAACCCTGTGTGGCAGTCGTACAATAAAATCCTATATGCAGGTTTTGTTTTTATGCATCACACAACCATCTATTTACAACTGTTTATTGCGAATACATCAAAACATAATGAAATGATGATATGGCTCCAAAACCATTAACTTTTGCAGCCTCCAGTAACCTTAACCCTGTGTGGCAGTCGTACACACTTCTTTCAAGTGCTTCTCTGAATGTGATTCTTCTCTTGGTCTTTGGACAGGTGAGGATTTTGGTGTGGAACTTCTCATCTTTGAGTGCACTGGCAGTAACTTTGTCAACAAGACCGCTCTGAACGACTTCCTCAAGTGAGACTCTGTCATGAGTGTCAGGGTTTATCAGTCCTCCTGTAAGGAGCTGGAACTCGATACAGCGAAAGCCGGCATCCTTTGGGAAGACATTTTCCTGGAGAGCCTGAGAAACTGACAAAGTCTTTGCAGTCTTGGGGTGAACAATGCCATTAAATGCGTTCGCAAATGGCTGGAGCTGCTGTTTCAATCCCTCATCTAAAAAACCTCTTTTGAGAGCCTCAGAGAGAGAAATTCTCTCCCCTGAAGAGGGGTCGCAAATACCTCCAGTGCAGGCCTGGGCCTCCAACAGCCTCAAGGCAGTAGCTCTGTCAGTAAAGCCCTGCTGAAACCCCTGAAGAATTGACAGCCTCTTCCCCTGAGCAATGTCCCAAAGACCAGCAACTGGGCTGTTAACATCCTCCACGACAACCATTCTTGAAAATATGATGTCTGCAATTTCATAGATACTAAGGAGCCCACTGCGATAGCTTTCAAGCTCAGATGTTTCAAGAAACCTCTGACTTAGGGCGGACTCCAGACAAAGTTGTCGGCCTCTTGTGTCATCAGTAATGATGTGACGTGTCTTTCCATTGGCATCAACTATGGGCTTTTCCACCCAATTGCTTTCCTGCTGTGACAGGAACAGGTACGTCCTCTTGTCAATATGTTTCCCCTTGAATGCTTCATATACTGACATTTCCATGCCACAGCTACTGCTGACAACAGACACTCTATGAGAACTCATGGGAGAGGAGTTTGTTAGATGTCTCTCACCAAACGGGAAGAGAAACACACAACCATCAATGTCGTAGAGGCAAGTCTTGAGTAGTTCAGAGTAGTATGCTTTCTGACCAGTGTCAGGATTGTGGAAACCTCTAGGGCTGCTGACTGGATCATACAGACTCTGTAGAGTCTCCTTGTCTAAAAGACCGTGGTCAACAGCAATGTTAGCTGGCACCCTGACACCAGTCTCCGGCTTGATTAGTCCTCCTGTAGAGACCTGGACCTCAAGGATTTTCTTGCCTTTGTATCTATCAAGAATCCTTTCCTCCATTGCCTGAAACACAGACAACTTTTTGCCAGCATGGATGTAGCCTTGAACAGCTTTCTCAGCCTCCGTCAGTTTATCTTTCAGGCCTGTCTCTATAATACCTCTCTCTAGAGCCTCAGCAACTGAACAGGTTTGTCCTGTGGCCAGATCTGTAAGACTTCCTGTTGCAGCCTGTGCCTCGAGAAACTCAAGTGCGTAAGTCTTTGCTAAGAAGCCCTTCTCAGCAGCTTCTAGGAAGGATATCTTTTTCTTACTTGACTCCACATAAACTCCAGCAATAGTAGTTGGTTTGCCGATGTACTGAGCAAGCGACACTTGCAGCTCTTCCATTGTGATGAGGCCCATCTCAAACTTATGCAAAACCTCTTCATCTAAAAGCTTGAATTTGATCAAACTTTGAAGACTTGTGCTGCCTTTGAGTTCTGGGAGCTTCTCTGAATGTGATTTTTGGGAAGTTGAATATATCACACTCACTTTTCCATCAGTGTGTGTGGAACTCTTCTCTGACATGTTTACAGCTTCACTGATTTCTTTGATACGATACATTCTTGTCTTAGTGGCGCTGCGGGTTTCGTTGAGCTGTTGCTCTGTTAGTCCACAGAGAGCCATGTCTCCATGTGTTGTTACAGCCATGGGCTCATCGGCTTTGTTTTGGCTCTTACAGGTCATGTTTTGCATGTCTTTTTCAAGGAGAATGGGAGTAGAGCTACTCAGTGTTGACTTTACTGGTGAATCATGAAGGTTTTGGCTGTAAATGACATCAGTTTTGTTTTGTTTGTCTTGTTTCAGTCCTTCAAGGATGCTTTCTTTTTCTGATGATGCAACCTGTTGATATGATATTAGAAGAACTTTTAAGTTACTAATGTTTGCTGTTACAATTACAACTCTTAAGTACATCAATAAATAGTCAAAAACAATACATTTAGACTAAAATATGGTATATCTGTTGCTAAATACAAGACTGTTATGTTAAACTGATTTCATCCGTACCTCTGAGGACACTTTCATTTTGAGAATCTCGTCCTCCATGTTGTATTTTACACCTTCATATGGGGATGACATCTTCTGCATCACTGTAAATTCTGTCTTCAAGGAAGTAGTGGCGTTGTCTTTCATATACTGATCACTGCTTTCGCTGACCTCTGGTTGATTAATCTTCTGGTGTTCCGTCTTCATTCTGACCCCCAGCATCAAGAGCTTTTCCTGAAGGATTTTAATCTCTTTGACATATGACTCTATTTGGTCCTGAACGGATCTCTCTTGATTTTCCCTCAGCATCAGTTTCCAATCACTGTCAGTCAACAACTGTTTAAACTTAGCCGACTCCTTCGACTGTTCATTGCAAAGGCTCTGTAAGGTATTAATTTTTAAGTTTAGTTTAAGTTTGTCTTCCTCATGTTGGGTAATTTGTGATTTTGCCTTTGACAATTCTTGGTTGAGTTTTGTTCTTTCTTGCTGCAGTGTGTCCACTTTCATCTGCAGCTGCAGCTGTTGGTCCGTTTGATGCTTTGATTCCACTGTGGTTTGATGCACTGTTATCTGTGTAAGGTCTTGTCTGAAATACTTGTTAAGCATTTCTGCTAATTCTGAACTATGTGATGGCAGATCTGACTTCTCAGTTCCATTTGTGATTTCAGACTGCAGTAAAATAAGTTTTTTCTCTATTTCAGTCTGCACTAGCAACAGCTGCCTCTCGTAGCCCTCCTTCTGAAGTTCTAGTTTACTCTTTAACTCCTCGAGCATTTTCTTGCACTTCTCCAACTGTTCTTCCATCTGCTGGGCCCTCAGCTGAAGGACGGAGTTTTCTTTTTGCTTTTGCTCGGCTTCTGTTTGGGCCTGTTGCAGCTTGCCTTTCAGCGTTCTGATTTCGGAACCCAACGAGATGTTTTTCTGCAGTGCCTCAGCTTTCTCCTTCTTAAGAAGCAGATTCTCGTGCTGCAGATTCGATCGTGATTTGTCAGAAATAGGCGTTAAATCTTTGACCGTCGCTTTATTTTTCTCAAGCTCAGTCTCCAGCTGAAATATTTTTGTTTCTTTGATTTTCCCTTCTTTCTTCTCTTTAGCCAATTCATCTTTAGTTTGTTGCAAGGAAGAGCTCAACTCTGAAAGTTTAACATTAAGACTCTCTAATTTCCTTTCTGCTGCTTTCTTATCATTCTGAAGAGCATACACTTCCTGCTTTAGGTTTTCTGTAATTGTCTCCGAGCTGCTCGTGAGCCCTTTACTGTGCTGTTGTTTGAAAAGCTCGTCTTCTGATGCCTTGGCTTTACTGGTATGTTTTTTACTCTCAGTGGTCCTTTCTTCCAGCTCTGCATTTTTCTTCTTTAGCAGCATATTGAGATCATTAATTTCAACAGTTTGCATATGGACCTTCTGATTTGCTAAATTCTTCTCACTAAGTGCTGACTTTAGCTCTGATTTCAAAGTTGTTATTTCTTTCTCATAATTGTCAATGTCTGAACTGAGCATTTTGATTTGTTCATTCACTTTCCTTAACTTCTCACTGTAATCCTGCAGTTTAATTTGAAGCTCACAGGAGGTATGGGATTTCTTATTTAGTTCCTCCTCAATGATTCTGATCTGTGATTTGGTGCCCTCCACCTGAGACTGGAAGATTTGAATTTTCTGGTCTTTGCTGTTCATTTCCATCGTCACCTGATGAAGTTTAGCTCTTATGTTCTTTAGGTTCGTTTCCATCTCCATATTTATGACTTTTAACTCATCAACTTTCTTCTGCAACTGAGAAACAACCAATTCGCTTTTCTGAAGTTCTGCTTCAAGGTTTTTACATTTGTGTTGGGCTGCCTGCTCAGATATCTTTATTACAGTATTTTCCTCCTTAGCAGTGTAAAGCTGCTGCTGCCACTTCTCCATCTCACTCTTCAAAAACTTCATCTTTTGCTCAGACTTTGATCTCTTTTTTTCCAGTGACTCGATTTGGATCTGAAGACTTCTAATACCATTGTCAGATGAGATACTGGTCCTCGTCAGCTCATTGCATTTAAACTTCAGCTGATCTATTGCTGACTGCTTGGAAGCTAGCTCTTCATCTAAGTTGTTAATTTTGTAAATATATTCCTGCTCCATGGAGCTTTTCTTATGCAGCTCTTCTTGGGTGATTTTCAACTGCTCTTTAAGGCCTTCAACTTCAGTGCTTTGGAAAATGGTGTTTTGTTCCAGTGAAGATTTTGCTCTTTGGAGATTTCGGATTTCCTCTTGTAGTTCACTGATGGATTTCTTCATGATCATTGTTTCTTGCTGGAGCTTATCAGATTTCTGTCGCATGTTGAGCTTCTCTGTTTCCATGTCCATCTGAAGTTTCTTCACTCTGTTACAGCTGTCATCCAACAGCTTTTTATAACTTTGTGCTTTCTCCTCAGCCATTTCTGCTCTTTGCTGGACCACATGTATTTCCTCTAGTTTCTGTTGCAAGACTTCCCTCATCATGCTGCCATTTTCTGCGGATGGCTCACTGTCAGCAGTCAGCTGACTGTCATTTACCAAAGGCTGCTGAGCCAGGTCATTTGTTTTAGCCTGGACTTGAATTAGAAACTTTAATTCAGTACCTTCCTGGACATTTATTTTTCTCTTAACTTCAGGGCTCTGCTTCTTAAGATCCTGGCCGTCATTTCTTTCCTTTAACAGGTCCTCTAGTTTTCTCTGAGCCAAAGACCACTTGGCCTCTGCCTGTTCAACCAATTGCTTTGTATGGCTTAACTCCTGCTCACTGGCAGCTTTGTCTTTCACTGCAATCTCTAATTTGGTGCGATACAGATGAACATCATGCCCCAGCTGGGATTTCTGAAAGTTTAGATCATCAATTATCTTCTGTTTTGTTTCTAGCTCCCCTTCCAACTTTTCCAGCTGTGCTTGTTTTTCAGCCAGCAAAGCCTCCTGTTCATGGACCCGTTGCTTAAGTAGACTAATCTCTACTTCTCCTTCAGTTTTTTGGAGCTCCATGCTCATCGTCCTTTTTGCATTCTTTGCCCTTTCAAAAGTCTTTCTGTTCTATAATGCAAAAAAGTAAGTCATCCACTGCTTCAAACTTAAATAGTATTTGTTAAATGAACTGCATAAATATTTCACTGGGTACCAGAGTGCTGCAGCAATATTAAGCAAACTCTCCAGGAATTTGAAGAAAAAATTATTTTTTATTTTAGTCAGAAATAGTGCGGTTAAACATTTTAACATTCACCAAATTCAAGAAGACCTTCAGACTGGAGGAGATTTATTTATGGCACTATTTCCCTTTCAGCTCCTGGTTTTCAGATAATAGGTCCATCAGTATATCTCAGTACCAATAATTTCAAAACACAAAATTGCTGGAGAGACTTTATATTGCCACTGAAAGGCCAACCTGAAGAAGACCTTCTGTCAAAGAAAAAGGCTTTCTCCTCCCAGCAAGTCAGTCACCAGCAAGAAAGAGCTACTGTATATGCAGACATGCACCTCCTTTCCACATTTCCTTTGCTTCCATTGTGTAATGAAGCAAACTGTCTTCACTCGCGATGAGAAAACCACATCTAATCAAAGATACAGCATTAAGAAAGCAAGGGGGATAAGAAGTAAAAATACTGTCTGCATTTTTGTTTGTTATATTATTCTTAAGTTTACATGTTGATGCAAAGCAGAGGATCTACTGTAAGAACCATGCAAAGAGAAGAAGTTTAGGCTAAACTGGAATTTTACGTTAAAGACAAAATGTGTTGTGTAATCAACTGAAAAAAAGAGAAAGATAAGAAATATTAAAATACGGATCTCTCACCTCCTCATCTTCAGCTCTCTTCAGTGTTTCACTGGCAAACTTCACATACTGCGTCATGAGAGTCACAAGAGCAGTGTAGCGGGTTCGGAGATCCATGAACTGCATGAAATTAAACAAGAGAAAACAGTATGTTAGCAGCATTTATTGTACATACAGCACAGGCTTCCTGTCCTACCAGACTTAAATCATAGTTTTACCTCTTGCTGAATAGCATCAGAAGAGCTCTGCATCCTCCGTTTCTTCAGAGGAGATTTGTGTTGGGAGTCCACCATCGCTCTGAAGGTCATCAGCTGAAGTTCGTAATCCTAAAAAAAAACAGAAGTGCAAAGTTACAGAGATTTTTTTCAAATACTACAATTCTTTGTTCATATCACTCAGCAGTCATCCCTCAACTAAAGCATGCTCCTATATCTAAAATGTATTGGTATGGTAATCGCACACACATATCCTGCAAATCCTTGCAGTGTGTACGTCATAAATTACATATCAAAATTCTGAAGTGGAGGTAAAGCACGTTTCTAAAAACCTGAAAACAAGCTGAAATAAATGAATTTACCTTAATGGCAGATGAGTACTGCTCTGAGTACTTCTGACACTCATCAATCCTGCTCTGTTTTTGTTCGATTTCAGCAACAAGGACCTGAAAAACATACATTTTTAATATATTTCTAATCTATATTGTCTTAATCTGAGTGCGAAGACATTCGTATTTATCCTACCTTCTGTCTGTTTAGCAGCTCAGCCAGGGCCTTGCTATCCTCAGGTTTGTTTTCTTGGGCCTTTAGCTGTGTTGCTTCCATTTCTCTAATCGATTCATCAAGATCACTGTAAACGTCTCTGTAGTGTTTCAGAGATTTGCTGATACCATCTAAGTCCCGAAGCCTGAAATCAATGAGATATACTTACACTTGTAATGTTTACATACAAATGTCACAATGTAATTCTTGTAGTGCACCCCCCCCCCCCCCCCCCCCCACGCTCCACTCA